GAACCGGCTTGCGAGTGGCAGATGGCCTCCGACCGAGCCCAGGCAGCATTCTATTTGCTGCATTCGAACGATGCAAGTCATGCAAGCCGTTGGACAGGTCCTTCGAAGACTCTTTGCGATGCATAGCACCGTACAGAGCAGTGCCTTTGGGAGACGCTACCGCTTGCGTCGACGTCGACACTGGCGAGGGGGAGATGCGAAGACCAGAAGCCTTTCTGCGCAGAGTGTGCAAAAAGGATGAGGACGGAGCGATCATTTTGGGCTTTGCGACGTCCCGCGTAGCGGTAGATCCGATCGTGACGGTCTCCTCTAGCAGCGACGGTCCAGGACTTGGCGTATAGTCTGGATTCGTTGCGTTGAACGCGTGCGCCAAAGGGCGCGAGCTGAGGTTGAGTGAGCCTGCAGGGCGATGTCCGCCAGGTCTGCTAGCAGCAAGTCCTGGGGCGATGGAAGCAGGCGTGGCATCTGTTGGCTCGTTTGCCAAGTTTCCCACACTCTTTTGGTCCTCCCGAAACAAGCCTGGAAAGGGCGTCAATTTGTGGTTGGCGTACATCGTCGCGAGCTCGGCCGAGCTCGCAGCAGGCGGATGATGCAAGTGTGCCGGATTGGCTGGCACAGGGGGGGATGCAAATACGGACGTGATCGAAGCGGCCTTTGCGTTGTGCCCCGCCGGGCTGGATCGAGCGTGCGATCCACTACCACTGCGCGCAGCTGCAGTGCTTCCTTCTTCTCGGCTACGATGGCTTGAAGCGCTCCTGATGGAGACCAGAGAGGTTTTGTGAGCGTGAGTGCGACGCGAAGAGTCCATGGCAAGAGGCGGAATAGAGCTTGCCGTGGCTGTAGGATGTGGAAGACCTGCAAGTGGAGATGAGCCTCGACCAAGAGAGGATCGCGCGGGCGCATCTTCATCGTTCAAATGCTCACGAAAGCGTGACATGGACGATGGAGCTGGTGATGCTGACTTGGAAGGCGATGAGTGCGCGGCCGAAGAGCCAGACGCGTTGCGCGTCGCTTCGTAGAGGCCTTTTGCCTTGCGATATTCCTCGGCTGCTGCGAATTGCTCGGCTGCCTCGCGCCGTTCCATTTCGCTCCGTGAAGGGAGACCATTCTCTGCACGAGGACTTGCCATGCGACTAAGATCGGCGGTGATCTGATCGATTCGCTCCAGATCCGAGTCTTCTTCCTCTGCTCCAGCTTCGACGTGATCACGGGCGCGAGACAAGGCGTCGTCGCGCAGATCATGAAGGCTGCTCTCTGACAAGCTCATCGTCCGATGTCGCAATGACGACGATCGGGGCGGCGCCATGACTGGACCAGCACTTGAGACAGCGGGCGTCGCTCCACGATTCAAATCAGACTGCGCGTGTTGTCGATCCACGGGAGATGAAATCTGGTCAGGCTTCTGCACTGGCGAGGCGCTAGCCTGCAGATCCAGC